TCACTGGCTTCAACAACATTTGCATAGCTCAGCTGTCCCAAAAGAAATTTTCATTTTGTTTTAACAGTTGAGATAAATTGTTCTAATTTGAACGTTCATACCCCCAAACCAATATTACCGATGAAAGTTGGAAAAGATGTATAAATATAACCTGACACTCCTGTAGCTTTTTCATTGCTTCTTTATTTCCAGACTCTACCCAAGTAAGACTTGGTAATTTTAATCTTACCACCTAGCTACCATTTGGCAGTTTAATAACACGTGTCTTTAAACTCTGACATCATAAATTACAATATTCCTTTTCTTTTAGGTAGAAGAAGTGTATTTAAAAATGTCAGATTAGTTTTCAGATAGAATTTTGTTTGTTGTTTTATTAAATCTGGCCAACTTCTAAGTAAGATGTTATTTTATTTCTGATTGTTAACTAGTTCTTAAGTATTAAAAATAGCTAGGAAATAGCTTTCTCATCTCTCTAGATTGCCATTCCTAGTTTTCCTCATTTTTATCCTTGTTCTGTCTTGCTGTTAGTCACCTAACTTCTATTGTATTCTAAAATTTAAACCTTTTTATTTATATTACATACAGTGTTTATATATGTGCACGTATGTACTATATATGAACATACATACAGGGTGTCCGTAAAGTTTGTGTGCACTTTAAAATAATTCGCTATTTCAGATTGCGCACTTTCTGGACATCTTATATTATTAAAAAGGATACCTTATTCAACTGTAATGTTTAAAAATGAATCAGGAACCGATTTTGAGGATTAAACAGTTAATCTAAGCATATTAAATATATCGTCTTTTGTTATAGTCACAAAATTTGTGGCAATTTGAATAACCCGTGAAATAATCTTTGCATTAATACTTTAAATTCAAAAAACTGTTGAGTTTATGAATTGATTTCTGGAATGACTGCCACCAGTCTCATCCTGATTTTTAAGACTACAAGAGTCAATTTTTTCCTTTTGGGGTATAGGTTAATTTTAGTTAAAAGAAACAGAAAAATTGTTAGAAAAAATAGTGTGTGTTTACTGATGTTTTATTAACTTTCTTCCTTTCTGTTACAATACGTAGTATGTTTACTGCAGTGATATCTTTGGAATCTGTGTTGATTTAATCCTCTATCGAAAAGCCTTCTTGAGTAGAGCTTAGGGAATCTATTGTATGACTTTATAAAGTGGCCTGCTAGTCAGCTAGACAGCTCTCTGAAAGTGGGATTTCCGTGTAATCAGCCAAAGCAAAGCACATAAGCAGAACACTACAAGCAGTGTGTCAGAATGGCATTTTATCTTGGTGTTTGTGGCAAATGGAGAGTGATGATTAAGGGCCAAGGTTGGGTTACATTATTGATTGATTGGCATGAATTGCACCTGAGTTTTTTATCTGCATTATTTTTAGTGCTTTTAATAGACAGGCTGCTAAATTGAGCAGCTCCTGCTTGTTATTAATTTGTGAACTTAAGAAAGAAAAATAATTAACATTTATTGACTACCTGCTCTGCCAGGTGCCACGTGTGGGTCTGGCCTGCAGTCTTTCTTACCCTCATGCTGCAGCAATGAGTTAGATGCTCTCATTTCTGGTCTCCAGAAAAGATACAACCCCCCAGAGAATTTCACTTACTTCTACAAGGTCACACAGCAAGTAGATAATAAAGCTGATATTTTAACAAAGCTGCTTATAAAATTGTACAGTTATGGCCATAGGTGGAACTGTCCTATAAAAACTGAATGAAAACATTTTTGTATTTATATTTTTGCATTAATCCTAGAATCCAGCCTAATGTATCTTGAGATGAAATCTAAATGATTTAGAATAGCTACTACATAAAAATCTGTATATGTAGCTCAAGATACGGTTGAATTTCCTGCTTTTAGACTTTTGGAATATTGTCATTGTCTAGATTTTAGAACACTAAATACGTCACATGTTTACACAGATCTCCTTTTCTCCCTGGTGAAACTTATAAACCCCTTTGTCTTCCCTTTTATCGTCCTAGCTTAATCATATATTTAAATTAGTGGTCTTTAAACAAATGCATCATTAGGTCAGTACAACCCAGAATGAAGATTTGATATTAGAGTTGGCTTTCATGCTATTATCTTTATTGCCTCTAGAATAGCATTAGAGTAGAACTCATCCTGAAGTGTTTAATAAGAAATTAGCATTTGTTCTGCAAATGCTTATCGAGGTGTGGTGCTAGGGACTCAGATGGAAGAAGCCAGCAAGGTACCAATGTTACATTTACCTGAACTCTCAAAGGAAGGTATGCTCCTGGTGGTTTTAGGAATAACAGAAGGATGTTTGTTCTAACTTATTCCCGACCATTTTGTCGAACCACAATTTTTCAGCAGTATGGTCTGCATTTAAAAAGTTTTGAACTTCCTAGGACGCAAACTTTTATCTAATATCACTTGTATTATTTTTCCAAATGTGTCAATGAAAATTCACATGGTTTTGCACGACCATATTTAGTAGCGTTTTCTGGTATATCAGAAACATTTGGAGTACTCATCGAAGAGGCTTGGTATTCTGTATACTTTTCACAAAGCATCAGTTGAATCTTAGGAGCACAGCTTTTTGAAAGTGAGGGCTCAGTGCAATCATTTAAAGTTGGCATTTTTTCTGAGTAAAATGTAAATACAGAGTAAAGTCCATACATCTGAGCTTCTATTAAAAGTTCTGATATGCACTGATAAGTACATATTAGCTAGCTAACTGTTCTTAATTAGCTAATAAGAACCTATCTAGCTAGTTAGATTTCTGTCTTTTATTTCAATCTGAGCTATGTTCATAGGTAGTAGAGATTGCATGGCATACTTTCAAGGAAGGTACTGGAATGAAGTGCTTATGAAAACCATAGTTAGTGTTTGCAAAGCCCAATTCAAGGCCCAGGGCTATCTCTTATTTATGGAACTGTAGAAGCTGACCTGAGTGCATGGACCATAACTGCCAGTGGATATGACCTTGCTTATCTACACTTAAATAAATCCAGTTTGAGTAAGAAATAGGATGTGGAGATACTGAGAAGAATTTCTCTTAAAGCAAAGTTCTTCTTTGTACTGAAAAAGCAGGCTTTCTCTAGGAGACCTCACCGTGATATCCCTGAAATCAGACTGTGTATCATCTGGGGGCTCATTTATTTTGGCCAGTCTTACTCTGTGGTTTGTCTTGTAACTCTGACTGTTGTTTCTGTGGCTGTTTTGCATTAAGATACTCTTACAAATTATGTGCTCATGCCCCCTATATAGGAAGCATGATTTTATATGGAGTAAGTCATAATTGTGAGTATGTATCTATACTACATCTGTGTAAATGCTACTCTGCAAACGTACCAATAGCCATAACAAATACTCAAAAAATTACTTGCAGGCCAATATTTTCTTTTTTTTATTTGTTAAGCAAGTTAAATTTTAGTGGCATTAATGTAGGTTTTAGAGCTATTCTGTACTTGATAAATGAAGCTTAAAGAAATTAGTTTGTAATGCAGTTCATGCAGCTAACAAGTGAGGGAGCTAGGCCTCTATCCCACCTCTTGAGACCTGTAAGGTCCTTGGTATCACTGTCCTGTTTACTGATTTCACTGATTTCACTGATTTCAGCAAAGCCAGATGCGGTGGTTCATGCCTTTAATACTAGCATCATGGGAGGCTGTGGCAGGAGAATTGCTTGAGGCCAGGAGTTCAAGATTAGACTGGGCAATATAGCAAGTAAAAAGAATTACCTGGCTGTGGCGGCACACACCTGTAGCTACTTGGGGAGACTGAGGAGGAATCCAGGAGTTCAAAGCTGCATTGAGCTATGATTGTGCCGTTGTATCCTAGTTTCATCAAAGAGTGAGACTCTCTTCTCAAAAAAAAGACAGGCAATAGACTGTGATACTAGCCCAGTGTAGCTAGCCCTAAAACCCTGAATGAAAAAGAGCCAAAGTAGATTATTTAAATGAGGATATGATAGATTTTACGATAAACATCAGTTTTCTGAGTCATTTTACAGTATAAAGTCAAATTATTCTAAATTGATTTTTTAAGATGATTTCAATTAATCTTTCTTACTCTTATAGTTTTAATTAGACTTACTGGCAAAAGAAGTTGTCAAGGCGGGTGATGGGTTTTCTTTCTATAATAAAATTTGACATTATAGTGAAATAATAAGGTTCTCGTGCTTCATACAATAGTCATATTAAGACTTTAATATTTTTGATGAAGAGAATTATCCTAAAGGAAGGTATATTCGTACTTCTTATTTAATAGTAACTTTAATAGCAACTTATTTTATGCTGTAAATTTTGGGGGAGGGTAAATAGGTCCATTTCTTAGTGTTCTATAATTTTTAGGAAATGAAGACTACATTTATCTTTGAAAGTTGAAAGGCTGTATTATTCACGAGTGTTTCATTTCACTTAAAATCCCTATATATAGTGAGAACTCATAGGAATTTTCCTCTTTTCAGCTGTAAATTTCTAATGCCTGAGTTTATAGGGCTTAGTAGTAATTTTAGCTCTATTTGTTATTATGAGATACTAGTAAAGGTATTTTACCGAAGATACGATGTACCTGGAGTCTTCTAAGTTCCTTTCCTAAGAACTCAATATAAGTAAAAATAGATAAAACTTTCTGTTCTTTTGGATTCATCAACGTTAACCAGGAAGAAATTATGGCATAAGCCTAATATTTTTTATTTGATATCTCTGTTTTAGTATTGTACAAACCTAGAAAGTATGTGGAGTTTTAAAGTTGAATCTAGAAATATTATATGCTAAAATTAAAATTAGTGAGCCTTTTCAAGCTTGTAAACTTTTTCAAATGTCTTAAACCTTCATTTTGGTAATTCTTTGACTAACTGCATCATGTGTTCTAAATACGCAATAAACTAATGTGGACAGTGCATTGTATGAAAACCCATAATAGACTCAAGGGACTGATGTGTGTTATTATATTTTTACAATTTGCTGATTTTATTCTTTTTTAAAATGTTTGCTGCTTTTGGTTTTCTCAGGGTCGTTGCTCCAGGGAGAACTGCAAATATCTTCATCCACCTCCACACTTAAAAACGCAATTGGAGATAAATGGACGCAATAACTTGATTCAGCAGAAGAACATGGCCATGCTGGCCCAGCAGATGCAACTAGCCAATGCCATGATGCCCGGTGCCCCGTTACAACCTGTGGTAAGTGTGTTTTCAACCCTCATTCATTACATTTGCTATTCCAAGTGCTCAGCTTCATGCAGAAGTGATGATTGCACTCAGTCAAGGGAACATGTATAATAGTATCCATTGCCTTAGCATTTTCTAGCAAAATTAAGTATCAGCCAAACCAGGAAGAATTAGCACATTATAGAGTTACAAATGCAAGAAAAATTCTGGCGGTAGTAAATGAGTAGTGTGGTCTTGAGAGTCTCATCAAGGGCGTAATAATTAGAGGTAGAAAATTCAAGAGCTTTTCAAAAAAAGCTAAATTTGATAAATTGGGTGGTCGTAGGTATTGTTTGCTAATAAGTGTATGTAAGGTACTTGCTTCAACACATATATACCTAGTTTACTTTAGGACTTTTGGGGGGGATGTGTATGTCATAAATGACTTAATAATCTTTACTCACATTTATCCAAGTGAGGAAGACTTAAATAGCGTTGATTTGAAAAGGTATCTGGTTTAATTGTGATACTGTAATTCTCTTTATAAATTTCACTGAAATTTAAATATCAGAATATATCTGACAAAAATTCATGTCACTAACTTCTATGCAATATTATTTTATGGGGTCATGAGGATATGAAGATCTACATTTTTCTGATTTGTTAACTGTAGCATGTGTGCTATTTTTTTCTATATATTCTTGATACCTGGGCTCAAGATGATTTTCTCCCTTAAAACTTAATACAACAATCGTTCCAGAAAAGGAGAGGGATTGCATTTTGAGGTGAAGGGATCTCCATATAATTGGCAGTGATGTCTACACAGTTCAAGTGCAAGAATATTATTACAAGCTATTAATCTTCTAATTTCACGCGCCTATATTGGATTAGTGTGAAGATTTCCTTTGGTTAAAAAAAAAATTAGCTGTAATCATTCTCTGTGTCAGAATAGGACAAAAGTCTCTTTTACACTTGGCCCTCACATATAGTTTCAAAGATTTGATAAACCCGTAGGACGGCCACTACTTTAATTAATATAAGGTTTTTTTCTTCACGTGGAGATACTTTGTTCCACTTAAACATTTAAGCATGCTTGCTGCCGGGCTGTTCCCGCACTGTGACCTGGAGCACCTTTGCGATCAGGAGGTGTGGTTCCCAGATTGCAGAGGATAGGACTGGGTAGATGGTGTGTTTGAGATCAGCAGGAGTGGTTCCCAGATTGCAGAGGAGAGCACTGGGCAGGACAGTGTGTTCCTTGCTCTGAGGTCTTGGCCTGTCTCCTGACCTAGCCCTGGAGTCTGTCTGACTCACAAGGCCATTCTAGCATGTCAAAGTACAATCCTAGGACACATTATGAGTAACATTTATGCTGTTTGAAACACTAGTAACTAATGTTTTGTATATAAAATTACAGATTTCTGAAACCATCAGAAGAATTTCCAGTGCTTTTGTGAGAATATTCTTTCCTTAGACAAAGTCTTTGTATTAGTTTTGAGCACATTCAGACTTGATGTTAATTTTCCTCATATGACTAGATTTGAATGTGGAATAGCCCTTCTGTTAGCGGCATCCTGAGATCCTAGTCTAAAAATAGACCCTATTCAGAGTGATGACTTTGTAATAAGCATAGAAATCATTTTAATTATTCAATTTTAAAGCATTTAAGACTTTAATGATTGGAGAGAAGGCTTTAATCCAGGAAATTTGACTTCAAAACCCCATCTGAGAAGTTATGATCCTTTTGTAGTCAGCCCTGTGTGGATGAGAGTAATGACATGGAGATTCAGAAATAAATGGAATGGTCGTGATCAGCTGCTTACTGGGACATTGGCCTGGACCTACAAGTAGGGATTAAAACAGGGCTAGAAGCAGCCACGTGACTAATGTGGACCAGGACTGCCACTCAGAATGGTCACGAGTACCGATGAGAGCATTGGAGACCTGGCGTTAACTGGGATCCCACACAGGTAGTGGGGACAGCATTCTATTTCTCTTGGCCCCCAAAGCCTAGCCAGAGGACAGGAAGGAGAGAAGGGGCTCGCAAGGTCTAGGCAAATTTGGAAGCATCTAGCATTGTGCCTGGTGTATAGCAGAGATCTATAATTGCTTGACAAGTGAATAAACAAATGAAAGAATGGGTTCCCCAAACCCCAGAAATACAGGCAGGCGTTTGTGGTACTTTAGCTGACCAGAGTCCAAAGGAATCATAACCAGGAACCAGAGCACAAGCCCAGTTACCGAGGCTGTAGCGTAGAGGGGAGAACAGAGGTGAATGCACACCAGCAGATGACGTATTAACAAAGGCCGTCAAGGGCTATAGAAATGCCAGCCAGTTTGGGTTACTATGCAACCAGGTTTGTGTTGACCTCGTCTCCTAAATTGAGAAAGACTCCAGCTATAAATTTAAGATCTTTAAAACATGACACTGGGCTAATTTGGGGAATGCAGGGATTGACAGGGGAATTCTTTGTTGTCACAGATTGTTGGCTTATATTAAAATGTACCAAGCCAAGGATCAAAGGAGGACTTGACATTTTTGAGATAAATAACAGTAGTTTAGGGGCATTTACTACACTCGGTACTTTTTATATATTAAATCTCATAACCATCCCGTAAAGTGGGTAATAACATCCTTGGTGTAGTCATAAAAACTCAGAGGCTCAGAGGTGTTACCTAATTTGCTCAGATTATACAGCTAGTGAGTAGGAAAGTTAAGAGTCTAAATTAGCCCAGCCTATGCGGTCTAGCCTCTGTGCTGTGTCAGGACACACTCGCAGCCTGCTCTGGTCCTCAGTGGATTCATTGACGATCGCTGACTGTCCTCCACAGAGTGAAAAGTGTAAAATATATCATCTGTGAGGCCCTAATAATAATATTCAACAGACATAATCATTCTCATTTCAAAAGATGAGAAAATTAGTGGGAAATAATTTGTGTTTACTTTCTAAAAAGTAATATAATTGTATAACAATTGAAATTAAGTCCATCATTTCTAAACCACGAATAAAAATGTTAAAACATCATTTTGTCTTCATCATGTGTTCTTTGAAGATAAATGGAAGACCCAGAGTGTTTCATTATTCAAATTAAAAAATTAAATTTTTGGATTCTCCAAGTATTCCTTTATCATCATCATCATTACTTTGCCACATACGGCCTAGTGCAAAGGTTCTCTCGTGAGAAATTATTACTTAATTTAACCAACAAGGTTACATCTACCCAGTGGCATGTTTCCATATGCCTTGACTGTGTGCTGTTAATTTCTTTAAAAAAGCTTTATTCTTTTGTTGCTTAACACACATTTGAAATCTAGAAAAATGACTTTTAAAATGTGTGTAATATAAATTCCAGCTGAAACGGATTGCCTATTATTTGTTATATACTTACTCCATTTGAGTAGAAATCTCATTGTTTGCAAAACAAGAGCTGTTTCACAGTGCTTTAAAAATAATTAATAACCCTATGCTATTTGCACCATCATAGCATGGTAGCCACACTGTCAAAACTTAGAAATTTTTGATATAAATCACACAAAAAAAGAAATTAAAATTTTGGACAGGTAAAAAGTAAATCACATTAATCACTTCGATTTAAGATTCAGGTATCCTAGAAAATACTTAATGCACTTTCTGGTTAATTTCTATGGCAAAGAAAAGCAGTTAGGAAACCCATTAATATACAGGCTAAGCAAATGTTCCTAGGAACTGTATAAATGCCAATTGCAGACGATAAAGTGAACAAGGCTGCCCTGTGGGACTCCGCCATCTAGTGGAGAGGAGGCATTCGAGTAAACACAGGTGGGGTTAAGTGCTGCATTTGAGGGAGTTTTGTGAGAACAGAGGCTTGGCACCTGTGGCTCAAGTGGCTAAGGCGCCAGCCACATACACCTAAAGTGGCGGGTTCGAATCCAGCCCGGCC